CACTCCTTTCCTCATCCCATCCACAGGAAGGGGCACACACACCAGTAGCAATCTCTATAAAGTCTCCTTCCTGTGGGTAGCTTCCTTGCTGGTCCCTCTGCAGCTGCCCCCGCTCTTCTCCCACCCACCCAGAGAACCCTGTTAATACACAAGTTTTGTCATATTGGGCCTCTCTGTTCACATCCTCCTTGGCTTCCCACTCAGTCCCAAACCCTCAGCGGGGCTCCTCTTGTCCTACTGAGCCCTATGTGTCTTCAGGGATTAAGAGGTTAGTGATTTCACTGGAGCCTTAGGAGAGCGAGAGGAGGGATATGGAAGTACTGGGGACTGGCTTTAGAAAGCCCCCATGAGGTAGCCAATGTGAAAACGAGAAAACAGAGTCCAGAGGCAGAAGTCACCAGCAACTGCCATAGGTCTTCCCTCAGGCCACCTAATTTCCTTTTAATTGGTACCTAATGAAAGAAAATTGAACCCAATTGAGTTTTAATGTGTGTATTCAAACACCAGCCCTAACTTGTTTGCTTTCTTCCAGGACCTGGGGTTTCAGGTGATAGGCAGGGAGAGGGCTGGGAGAATGGGTACCCTTCCCCACCCCCAAGGCAGGCAGATCCCAGCCTGCAGGTGTCCTCTGGACTGTCTCCTACTGTCCCACATCACCTCTTCCCATACCCAAATCTCCAGGACACCAGATTCCATGAACACTGACTTGGAACCTCCTTCAAGCTGGCACTGTGTTAGGAACTTATCAACGCATCACCTCCTGGGATCCTCCGTGGTCCCAGTGGGGCATGTCACAGTAAAGTTCCTCCTTTTCAGAGGCTACCATATGGACTTGCCCAAGGGTACTGTCTCTGCTCTGCCTATGCTATGCTGCACCGTGTAACGAGCACCAGCCACATGTGGGTACTGTCTGAGCAGAGTGTATTATGGCATTGAGATGTGTGGCACACAGTCATGAGTATCCAAGAATGAAAAAGAAATATGTGAGGTAGAGGGTTGTGAGTTCAAGGCCAGTCTGAGTTATGTAGCAAGACCCTGTTCTCGCTAAAAATAAATAAATAAATAAATAAAGGCAAACTTCCGCCGGGCGTTGGCGGCACTCGCCTTTAATCCCAGCATTCAGGAGGCAGAGGCAGGTGGATCTCTGTGAGTTCGAGGCCAGCCTGGTCTCCAGATCGAGTGCCAGGATAGGCTCCAAAGCTACACAGAGAAACCCTGTCTCGAAAAATAAAAAAAAAAAAAGCAAACTTCCTTGATTTGACTTTATGTTTAAAACAGAAGATGTTTAGGTGAGTTATAATGGCACATACCTGTAATTCTAGCACTTGGAAGATGAAGACAGAAGGATCAAGAGTTCAAAGCCAGCCTCAGCCTTTTAGCAATTTTGAGACCAGCCTGAGCTACCTGAGACTAGGTCTCAAAATAAAGAAATAATTGTAATATATTGTGTTAAATATATGGTTATAGTTACTCTCACCTTTTTAAAACATTGTCTTTTCAGACAGAGTCTCATTTTTTTGTCCTGGCTGGCCTCAAAGTCATGGTAATCTTGTACCAGTCTCTTGTTGGGGGATTACAGGTATGAGCCACCATGCCTGGCTTAACTTAAAAAAAACAAAACATTCTTTAAATAGCTATCTGAACACTGTAGAAAGGATGTATCATATCCAGGGCCTTCTCTCGGTGGAAGTAGGTGTGGTGTGTCTGCCCTAGAAGTGCCCCACGTCTGCAAGGTAAAGAGAGTGGCAAAGCTCAAGGGGCAGGAAGTCTTGCCTGTATGTCTTGACCTAGGAAGTCCCTTCAGCACCATGGGCAGAGTCCCACTTGGGGTCCTGAAGACCCTGCAGAGGTCCAAGGACAGCTAAAGGAATACTGACTGCCTACAAAACATTCCCCAACTTCCCTCCTCACTCCAACCTCCCACCACTCAACACTACCCAAGCCACACGCCCCGCTGGTTAGAATGCTTGCCTAGTATGCACAGGATCTGGGTTTGATCCCTTTAAAAACCTGTAGGGTAGATGAGGAGCACAGGGCTCAGCAAGCTCTATGAATTCTGTCCTCTTTTTTTATCTAGTTTTTGGTTCTTCAGGACAGGGTTTCTCTGTGTAACAGTCCTGGCTGCCCTAGAATTCACTCTGTAGGCCAGGCTGGCCTTAAACTCACAGAGATCCTCCTGCCTCTGCCTGAGTGCTGGACCACCCCCTTAAAAATTCCATCCCCCTTAAAAATCTGCTTAGGTCTGCTTTCTGTTCCTTGACTGAGTACACATGCCTGAACCAGGTGGATGCACATGGTAGCCATACTATGTGATCATGGCAACAGTAATAATGCACACAGGCAGTAGGGGCCCAATGAGTGGTGTTCGCTGAGCCCAAGCGCTCAGGGACAGCATCACAGACAAGAAGAATGGAATTTTCCAATTCAGTAGAGGCATGGCGGTGAGAGAAATGTCAGGAGAGACGGGAAATAGCCATGTCCCTGAGGGCTTTGCCTTGCAGGCTGATCCTCAGACCACACAAGGCATTTGTACTGGGCAATGGACTGCCAGCTCTATGTTGCCATGAATGTGAAGAATTAGAGATGGAGGCAAAAAAACAACACACACACACACAAAAACAAACAAACAAACAAACAAACAAACAAAAAAACCATGAGGATGATGAAGGGACATTCAAGCCCAGAAAAGAAATGCAGAGTGTCAGAAGCCAGTGCAAACAGACTGGCTATCAGGCCAAGGATGGGAGCATGAGTCTGGCTGGGCAACTGGTTTGAGTGACAGTTTGCTTAAAAGCTCCGGCCTCACTCTACAGCCTCTCCCTGCAAAACAAAGGAACTTCAGACAAGGTCCAGTCACCTGCCGCGGTCATAAGGCAGACCTGTGCCTGCGGAAGTAGGGAGTGGGTGTCAGGCAGGGGCACAGCCCCAACCTAGCAAAGCTCAGCCCCTGCCCATGGATCTGGTAAATCTCAAAACTGCCAGGAGCCTCTCCTGGCAGCTATGGCTGTTGATGGAGCAGAGTCAGCAAGGTGGACCCAATTTCAATGAGAAGAAAGCAAGCATGGGGGCAGGGGATTGCACCTCACAGATCAGCCCAGAGAGCCCACAGGAGGTGACAGCTGGTTCAGCCCAGGGCTGGAAAAGAAGAAACAGGAGCAGAGGGAAAGGCTGTAAGAAATCCATTAGAGGTGGCAGGGGCAGCTGAGGAGGGACTGGCAAGGGTGTGATGAAGCAGGATTTGTTGGCACAGGTGCAGGCATTTGTGCAACCCTACCGCCCCCTTCTAGGAACAAGCTCTCCTCCCCCCATTTGGAGACTAGTTTCCCTCACCAGGGCTCCTAAAGAGCTGCTAATCACAGTGCACAGGACCAATCAAATTTTTCCTTCCTTGGACGTTTTCTAATTGGAATTCAAGAGAAAAATTTCTTCCCCTTTGGGGCCAAGGCAGAGTGATGGCAGGGGGAAGTCTTGTTTGGCCCAGGAGGTGAGAAAAACTGCCTAAGAGAATGGAGCAAGCAGGGAGGGAATGAAGCACTCTGAGACTCAGCCCATCACCACAGCCAGACTTGTACACCCGCATCTGTCCTTGCCCTGTATGCATATCCCTGAGTGAGCGAAGCTCCCCTGTGTCAGTCGCTGGCACTAACCTCCTCCCCACCACATCCCAGTTAGTCACTCACAAGCTGTGAGAGATTGGTTTCCTCCTCCCTCCCCCAGCCTCCCTCGGTGGCCAGGGAGCAAAGCCAGTGTCCCTGGTAAACTGGGGAAGTTGGGGAGAATTCCAACTCTCTGAGCCTCGGTCTGTAAAACAGGGAACTTAAACACCTGTCTGGAACTCAATCGATGCCCCAGCAAACACTTTGTATAACTAAACACTGGGGAGAGGACAAGGTAAATAGGGCTAGGAGCACAGTCCTGGGAGGACTCTGTTCCCACACCTCCTCTGACCAGGACCTACATCAGGCAGGGTTCCAATGGCACTGAGAAGCCTGTGATGAAGCCTACAGAGTGGAAAAAAGTGTTCCACACCCTTCCTCCAGCCAGTCTGAGGCCATCAGCTTCGATAACCCACCCCAGCGACCAGCCCTTTCTTCCTGTATTCCCATCCAATTCCCAACTCCCAATTCCCACGGCAGCTGCAGCTGTTCCCCCCAGGGCCTGGATTTGTGTCTCAAGAGCCCCCTAAGGGTCCAGAGGTGGTCGTGTTACTAAATGACCAGGCCGGCAAGCAATGCCTGTGGCCACTGCTGCGTCTTTAGCTGCTGCCTGCCTGGAAGAATAACAGCACGCACCACGAGACCTTCCACGTGCTGATCCCGTGCCCTCTTGTACTGGTGCCCAGGAGCTCAGATGCATGAAGAATACAATCCAGCAGTGAGCCTCAGAGCCACGCCCTCCAACACTAATTCAGCCTTGCTTTTCCACGCCAGAGGATCCATACCACGCCAGAAAGATCCACCACGATCCAGCTCCTCATAGCTCCACCGCCACCGCCATGAAGGTCAAGTCTCAAAAAGCTGAGCTGAAATGCTCCCTCTGCCAGGCCTGGGTGTGAACACAGGCTCTACCTTTGACCGTGGCCCTGAACACATTACTTCTAATCTTTTAACTTCATTTTGTAACCACATTTGTAACCACAAAATGTGCACACTTTCTAGCATGGGTGCTTCGAAGAACTGGGGACATGTGTGCAGTGCGCCTAACACTCACATAAGATCCTGTTCCCTGACTATAACCCAGTGCAAGCAGCCTGGGCCCTGCCCCAGTGAAAGGCAGCCATGACCGGGACAATCAGTCACAGGGTGTCCATCCCACATTGTCCCCATCAGGTAAGGGGTGTGTATAAAGGGAGCCAGGGCCAAAGTCAGGTTCAGCATGCAGCTAGCCCCTCTCAGTCAGGCCTGGCCTGACCCCATTATACAACTAAAGAGCTGGAGGGACAAAGCTGGGGTCCCAGGACTGGGCTCTGCCTAGGGGCAGCAAACAATACAGCAGCCAAATCCACAGAGTGAAGTTTATTCCCAACAAAGTTTCCCTCCCCCCTCCCCAGCCCAGGACAGGGACAGACAGGCTGGGGCAAAGAGGCTCCAGCAGGTGGCTGAGGGACTTCTGAGAACAAAGAGGGTCCTGCCAGTCTGGCTGCCCCCAGCCAGGCTGAGTCCTCTGCACCTCCTGCCCAGCCTCGGGAGGGGGAGGGGCGCTGGCTCCTGGTAGTTCCAAAGTGGAGTGTGAAAATAGATATATATTTCTGTGCAGTGGGCAGTCCGGTGTGGCACTCACACCTCTGTCTGGAAGTCACCGTCTGGAGGTTCTGTGGGCTCCCAGGCTGCTGTCCGGTGCAGGGCCAGCCGTTCTCGGGGCTTGGGGGGCAGTGAGCCCAGTGTCATGGCAGGGAAAGTGCTCCAGCTCTGATGCCTCCTGTGCTGAGACAGGCCAGGGCGTTCCCCAGGGCTGGGTTTCTCCTGTGGACAGAGCAGGGTGAGCCTGGGCTCCCCTCGTATCCACTGTACACAGCAAACGAAGGCTGTCCCAGGAGAACTGAGACTGCTCCAACATCACAGAGTAACCAGCTATCAGGCTAGCTTCTGACCCTTATTGACTGCTACTGCAGTGGTGTTCCTGAGGTCATGTCTCCTGTTTACGTACCCTTCTTTTCCAATTGTGGGGGACCCTGTTAGTGTGTTTGCTCTCCACGGCACCTTCCCACCCCCATGCAACCCTAAAACTGATGCTTATGGCAAGCAGGCCCTTGGTGAGGCAAGCTGCAGTTACCCAGGCAGTGAGGCGAGCAGGACAGGAGCCCCTCAGAGCCTACCTCACCCCCTAGCCCAGGAACACTTTAGCAGGACATGTACCATTCTGCCCAAGGATACACTGTGCCACACCTCCTTCTACCAACAGGGACAATGTGTCAGGGCCCCACCTCAGGGACCATGCACTTGGTGCTGTGGGCTGGGGCAGCAACAGAGGGACCCTCACCTTGCCTGAGGACTGGCTACGGTAGCGGTCAAAAGTGTGGAACTTCTGGTTGAGTTCGTGGTAGAGTTCCGAGTGCCGTTTCCGGGTGTGCATCACCTTCTAGGGGTCACTTGGGTGTCAGAGGAGTGCTCCTCTGGGCAGCACTGTAGACACCCCTCAGTCCCCTCTGCCCTGGGCCTGCTGGCCCCTCTGGGGCAAGGCTAGTATGTATTCTCTCTCCCTTTCCCTCTCCCTCCTTGCTCTCCTCTATTTCTGCCCCAGAGCAATGGGTGTGGACGGTGGGGAGATCCCAGGGAATCCAGAGGCTTGGTGGCCCAGGACTGGGCTCCACAGTGCAGTGGGGCTTGGGGTACTTTTAGGAATCAGCCATCTGGGGACACACCCAGCCTTCTGGGGACACGCCCCTCCCAGTGCCAGCACTCACCTCAAAGTCCAAGTCTGAATACCGAAGCTTCTTTCGCTACGGAGCAACAAGCAGGCCATGAGAGAGGAGCTTTGCACAGGGGCCTTTGGGCCCCAGGACTCTATGACACCTTCTCCCACCCAGACCTTAGAGTTGAGAATCATTATCTTATGAGTTAGCCCTTGGGGTCACAGCACAGCGACAGAGCTCTGTCATACATATCTGTGGTGCAATGTGCTGCTGGAAGCACACACAGATGTAAACACAGGTCAGCTGTGAAGAGGCAGGGATAGCACCATGTAGGATCATACAGCCCAGGCTTGTTCGGTGCCCTGGATTCTAGCCTTCTCTCCTACCCCGAGCTCCCTCCCCTCTCCTTGAAATCCTACACTTGCCCTGCAAAGAGAATGTTGGGCTTTCCATGCCCAGCCTATCTGCCCCAACCTTGCCTCTTTTGACTCACCTGGCCAAGACCACCTTCAAGGCCCCAACAAGCTCGGTGACATCCAGTGCCACTCAAGACCTCAGAATCTTAGAATGCTGGGTTTGGGAGGCCTCATGATACCCAAGCCAACTGTCTCAGTGAGATGGGGAAACTGAGACCCAGAAAGGGAAAGAAAAGGGACTGGCCACTCGCTCCAGACCCTCAGAAGTGATGTTAAGACCATGATGTGGGTTTCCTGAGATCCAATCTGAAGAGACAGCTGTCGGTGACTCATGCCTTTAATCCCAGCACTTGGGAGGCAGAGGCAGGTGCATCTCTGTGAGGTCAAGACCTGCCTGTTCTACAAGAGCTAGTTCCAGGACAGCCTCCAAAGCTACACAGGGAAACCCTGTCTTGAAAAACCAAAAAAAAAAAAAAAAAAAAAAAAAAAAAAAAAAAAAATCCAACCTGACTGCACTCTCTTCATTTTTCCTCCTACCTTCTGACCTTCTCTGCCTATTTCTCCATCACGAAGCCCTGCCCCATCCCCAGCCACGTCTCTCTTTCTACAGGTAACAGCTCCGCTAGCCCTACCCACAGTGCTCCAGAGGCATAGCAGACCCATGCCCATACTTCCCCTGGGCTCATACTATTCTGGACACCATCTTTGACCCTTCAGGCTCCTGCCACATTTATTACTACCTCCCACACAAGAAGCCCGCCCGGCACTGGTCCCTCCCCAGTGGTCCAGCCACGGGCAGGTGTCCACAGAACAAAGCCTACCCCAATGCTGAGCACACTGCCTCCCCATCACTGATGTCATCTTTTCTGTCTTTGTTAACGCCTTCCTGTTTTGTTGCCATCTGTGGCGGGAGCAGGCACCAAATGTTCAAGGAACGTTTTAGGCACAAAGCTAAACTTGTGACCCCTCTAGCTACTAACTTGTGTTTGTAGAGGACAGAGAGCAGCTTTTCCAAGCTAGTTCCAAGCAGCTAATTGTGTATAAGCTGCAACTTCAACCTCTATCCTAAGCTGGGTACTAAGCTTCTGAGCTTGGGCAATGAAGGAAACTGAGTTCTGGGGAGGGGTTGGTACCCTTCTGTATACAAGAGGGACCAGGAAGACAAGTGGCTCATGGGCCCAAGGGATGGAGGTTGGCGAGCCAACCTCCCTCCAGTTAGAGTTCTAGAATGTCCTAGAGTTTGACTTTGGGTCTCTACTAATATGTGTGTTCCCAGAGATGGTCTGCAGGGGGGCAGGCCAGAGGAAACAGAGGGGCTTCCATTTTCCCATCAGAAGTCGAGGGCAGCAGTCAGAGCCAATTTCGGATAACAGCATCTTCCAGCTTCCCAGCACTTCCTACTTATTCCACACAGAAGTACAAGGCTTGTATCATTCCATTCTCCAAACAATACTACACAGGTGCCATTCCCACTTTGCATACAAGGAGGCCAAGGCCCAGAGAGACCGTACAATGTGCTCAGTATCTCCTTGCTGGTCAGTGAGTCCAGACCACACTCATGTCTGCGTGCTGCAGAGGCCCAGGCTCAACCTCCTTCTTACCAATTGGGCACCTGAGCCACGGTTGCCTTAATAGAGGGTTCATCCTGACCAGTCACCCCAGAGTGGGCAGAAGAGCACTAATGAGTGAATTCATGAAGTTTCACCCATTTGAGGCATTCAGACACCCCAGAGTTTCCTTGGAGCTGAGCTCTGTGAACCCCAGTAGGAGGAGGGATGCACACGGTATGAGCTCCCAGTACTGCTCTGGGGATGGATGACAGCTGTCCCTTCCTGGCTGCAGCCTATGACTTAGACACAGTCTCAGGCATACAATAGGTAGACTCCCTCCCCACTCTCTACAGCCCCTCACCTCAAGGGAGCCCAGCTTCATGGTGGAGCCAGGTACTGTACGGGGCATGGTCCGGCTTCGTTCCCCTGGCTCAGGTACTTGGCGGGCGCTGGGTGTTGGTGGTGGTGGTTGGAAGGTCATCCCATATGGGTTCTGGAGAGACCCATAGGCAGGGCCCAGCCCTAGACCTGAGTGCTCCACAGACAGGAAGCTGGGGTAGCCTTCAGTGTGGGCCACTGTCTTGGCAGCCCGCCGGGGAGTCCCCTCAGGCCGGGCCCTTGGGGCCTCCTCACCCCCTGTGCCCCCACCACCAGGCTGCAGGCTCAAAGTCCGCCGGGGCAGCACCATGTAGTCCCCCTCAGAGCCTGGCTCGCTTGGTCGTAGCCATGTAAGGTCCAACTGCCGCAGACCACCCTCCCCGCACATGTACACAGGGTTGGTCTCTTGGGGTGGTGGTGGCTCCCCTAGACCTGGTGAAGCTGCCATGGGCACTAGGATGTTCCCAGGCAGTGGTGAGAAGCTGAGGCCACCCTCAGGACCCACAAGACAGGACTTGGGCTCCTCATCCTCATCCAGGGACAGGCGGGACAGAGTGCCAGTGATGGTGGACGGGTTGCAAGTGTTGACCTCCTTGAACAAAACTGGAGATAGAAGTGGGAGAGATAGATAAGCCCTAAGGAAGAGACCCTGGGATGCTGTTGCCCAGGTTTGGGTGGGTACTAAGCTTCTGAGCTTGGGCAATGAAGGAAACTGAGTTCTGGGGAGGTGGTTGGTACCCTTCTGTATACAAGAGGGACCAGGAAGACAAGTGGCTCATGGGCCCAAGGGATGGAGGTTGGCGAGCCAAGGCTGAGTTCCCATGAGTGCCCTGGTACATGGTCTAACTTCTACTCCACAGCCCCAAGGCTGTCAACAGGCCTTGCTCTACCCTGTACCCCAGGAAGCATATACCTTAGAGAAAGGTCTGGAAAGAGCTGCCACGGAAAGCCATTGAAGAGATGGAAGAATGTAGCAGCCAACATATGCCAAGGCCCCTACTGTAACCGTGATGTCCCCTCATTCATGTAGGCCCTAGGCCTTCTACCTGCCCCAGACAATGCTATGTTCTCCTTTATAAGTGTGTGTACAGCCGAGACTTAGAGAGGGGAGATTTTTGCCCAGAGGCAAGTGGTAATTGGCCATCCCAGATGTAAATCTAACCTGCCCCTGGCTAATATCAAAGCAGGACATTGGCAGCCTGGTCCCCATCAGGGCTGCTATGACACAGTATGGGGCTCCTGTCATAGCCATGCCTAAGGCTTTGTGGCTCAACCCGACAGACTCACCTGTCTGACAAGCCAGGTCCACATCCTTTTCAAAGTCTGACTATAAGTCGAGAGGGAGAGAGAGAGCAGGTTGGCAGAGGGAAGAGAGCCGTGTCAGGATAGGGGAGGCTCAGGCACCTCCCCCCACCCAGCTCTTCAGTCCTCTATGAGGGTCCCCCAACAGAGCCTCAAACTGTAAGGAAGAAGCTGAATGAGGGAAACCTTTGCCCAGTGCCACCCTGTAGCCAACAGTGGAGTCTGAATTAAAACCAGGCTCCGTCTCCTTCCTGTCTCAGATGGGATGGGAAAGGGAAGGACCTTGTGTCAGGAGGGGTCTACCCAGGCCTCCTCACTCACCAGGATCTGCAGCTGCCCATTCTTGCACGAATCAGGGGAGTCTTCACTCTCATCGGCCCGACACACACCCATCTGGCACTTTACCACGTCCTGGACCTGGGAACGGGAAGGACCTGCTGGGTCTGTGACCTCCATAATACCTCCACCATAGTGGGCTGGGTGTCCCACCCTGGGTAACCAGAGTAGGAGTAGGAAGAGACAAGCATTGAGCCTGAAGGTGGTGCCAACTGGACTGGGATATTGGACAGGGGCTAAAGAAGGCCCAGGCCTTCAAGGCTGTCCAAAACAGACGTGCCCACACCAGGGGCCTGAAGCCCCCTGGTCACCCTGTACCACACAGTGGGGAGAAGCCAGAGTCCAGCACGGGGTGGGCAAGCAAGAAGAGCCGAGGCACCTCCCGGCGCAGGAAGCAGTGCACAGCAGTGATGACAAAGCCTTGTGCAGAGTTGAAAACGGCGAACAGCGCCTGGAAGAGGACCGAGCGGCGGTCTGTCATGGCCAGGACAGCAGACATCCAGGTAAGCGCCAGCAGAGGCAGTACCACGCAGGAGCTCCAGAGTGAGGCCCTGAGAGGGACAGCAGCAGAAAGTCTGTCAGAGTGACACTCTGCAGGACAGGGTGGCAGGAGCCTGGGCTCCTCAGCTTGGGGAATGGCAAAGCCCCAAACTCCAGGATCTTAGGAGTGTTTCCAAGCAGAGAGGAGGCAAGGAACTGGAGGAGAAACAGGACAAAGACAGAACTATAGGGCCAGAGCAGGGGCCATGAGAGGTAGGAGGGAAGGACACATAGACACAGTGGGACCCAGCAGAACAGAGGCAATACTAGGAAGCAGGGGTGAAGAAAGAAGAGACAGGAGGGAAGCGGGGCAGACAGAGGCAAACACGGGGAGCTTCAGGCCCAGCTTGCACAGAAGCATCTTGGAAGCTTTGGAAAAAGACCACTGGCCAGAACTACAATCCCAAAGACCCTAAGACAGTAGGCTGGAGAGAGAAGGAGAGGAAGAACAAAGAAAGATGACTGCCACAGTGAAAGGAGCGAGACAGACAGACCCCCAGACAGGAAGACTGAACAGGTAGAGCATGTGGAGGACACCACAGCACAAATCCTTGCAGAGAAGATGGGGTCCAGCCCTGCCAGGTTGAGGCCTGGAGGAACCTCTGGCTCCTGGTGGTTGCTCAGAACCCAGGGCAATAGGATCATAGCTGGGTCAGAACCAAGCCTATGTTTTCCTGGACTCCATGCAGAGACAAAAGGTAGACAGGCCATGCATGGCCAACAGACTGATCTCCATCCCCAACAATTGCTATAGCCCATGAGGAACAGGAGCTGGAAGCCCACTCTGCCCTACCCCCAGGACCCCAGTGGAGAGTCAGGCACAGCTCCAGACAGGGCAGGGTGGTAACCATTCTGCAGAGACAGCCAGAGGCTAAGGCAGAAAGATGGGCAGGCAGGGGGCCAAGACCTATCCTGTGAAGAGAGGTTCATGGCTGTTGAGCCAGGCAAGGTGGGGGTGAAGGCACAGTGTCTCTGAAACCCTGGAGGAGGAGCCAAGAGCCAGAGAGGCTCTAATCACAGTAATAAGAGCTGCCATTGATTAACTAGCAATTCTCTGCCAGGCCCTCCACTGAACACTTTACATAGATTATTTCAAATTGTGATCAAAACAACTCCAACAAACAGGCCTGGGGACTAGTCTCCCAATTGACAGATGAGGGGACTGGAGTGTGCCCAGCTGGACAGGGAGAGGGGAGCTGGGACACAAATCCAGCTTGGTGGACAGACTCTGAGGCCTACACTTTGATCTGGTTCAGCAGACTGGGCACAGGGAGGTGGTGGTCCAGAGCAGAGGATGCTCACTGTTCCTTGAGTGTCATGGAGCCCTGCAATGATGGCACAGGTCCCCTGAGGCGTGTGACAAGGCTGTGCCCTCTCTCATTAAGGTGACTCAGGTGGACTTCCAGTCCTGGTAGGAGGTTTGGGCCTGCGGCCTTTCTACTCTTGCATATCTGGGGTCTTAAGATTCTTAGCTGCAAGGTTGGGGTGTCAATTGTCTTCCTCCATGACTCTGTCTCTGATTGTGAGGTTCAAGGCCTCTGGAATGTAAGGCAGATTCTACAACACCAAAGAGTGTATTTCCGTCCTTCTCACACCCTCAAGTTTCTGGTTATTTATTCTAAGGTTCCACCACTTTAATCTGAAGGCTTTAATAGCTCAAAAATTCTAAGGGCCTAGGATTCTTAGGACCTTCAGGTTGGTGGTGAGAGGAGGAGTCTGCAGCTGTGCCTGTATGGATAATTAAGCCACAGCAAGGACAGGGACCAGAGGGAAGGGCGAGCAGGGCTCTGCAGCACCTTGTGGAGGGTGTCACTCCTATCGCCTTCAGCCACCTCAACCCTGAACTTCAGAGAGCATGTAGCAGTTAGGAGGGCGGGGGCAAGGCGAGCTCTCCAGGGCACTGGGCTGGTATCCCTCCCAATCCCCACCATGGGCACTGCCCTCCCATTCCTTAGCCCCTGCCCGCCCCCACCGCCCCCCCAGGGGGCA